CCCCCGGTTCGCGAAGTCATCTGTATCCGATAAATCCGGTATCCGAAGCATTATATCGCAAAAAATCTGCCTCGGTTCCCGTTACAAAACCCGGTATGCGATACGATTCATACGAGACATGTCCACGTGTGGCCTGAACTGCCCCGTGTGTGCCAGTGTTTACAAGCCAGCCAGTGTGCGTGCATCTAAGGATACATTAGGTACATTCCATATTATCACTGTTTTTGGTGCTGGTTTCTGCAAAATAAGCCACCATGGGCCCCAAGAAAGCTTCTAGTGCCAACCCATCGAGACCAAGGGTGCTAATGACAATTGAAATGAAGAAAGAGATAATTGCAAAGTATGAAAGTGGAGTGCATGTGTCGGACCTGGCCAAGTTGTATAGTAAATCCCAATCAACCATCTCTACTATAGTGAGCAGGAAAATGGCAATCAAGGAAGCTGTTCTTGCAAAAGTTGCAACTGTGATTACAAAACAGCGATCACAAGTGTTAGAAAATGTTGAGAGACTGTTATTGGTGTGGATAAATGAAAAACAGATAGCAGGAGATAGCATCTCTCAAGCGATCATTTGTGAAAAGGCTAGGCAGTTGCATGAGGATTTAATTAGAAAAATGTCTGCAACTAGTGGTGATGTGAGTGAATTTAAGGCCAGCAAAGGTTGGTTTGAAAGATTTAAGAATCGTAGTGGCATACATAGTGTGATTAGGCATGGTGAGGCTGCCAGTTCAGACCAATAGCAGCTGAAAAATATGTGCATGAATTCAAGGAATACATAGAGGCTGAAGGACTGAAACCTGAACAAGTGTTTAATTGTGACGAAACAGGCCTGTTTTGGAAGAAATTGCCAAGCAGGACCTACATTACTCAGGAGGAAAAGGCACTCCCAGGACACATGCCTATGAAAGACAGGCTTACTCTTCTGATGTGTGCCAATGCTAGTGGTGATTGCAAAGTGAAGCCTTTACTGGTGTATTACTCAGAAACTCCCAGAGTGTTCAGGCAAAAGAATATCCTCAAGGCTAATTTGTGTGTGCTGTGGAGGGCAAACACTAAGGCATGGGTCACTAGGGACTTTTTCTATGACTGGTTACACCATGCATTTGCCCCCAGTGTGAAAAATTACCTAATTGAAAAGAAATTAGACCTTAAGTGCCTCCTGGTATTAGACAATGCCCCTGATCATCCTTCAGACTTGGCAGAGCGACTTTGTGGGGACATGAACTTCATTAAGGTCAAGTTTTTGCCTCCTAATACCACTCCTCTCCTGCAGCCCATGGACCAGCAGGTCATTTCCAACTTCAAGAAACTGTACACAAAAGCTATGTTTGAAAGGTGCTTTGAAGTGACCTCAGACACTCTATTGACTCTAAAGGAGTTTTGGAAGGATCACTTTAATATCCTCAATTGTGTAAACCTTATAGGTAAGGCTTGGGAGGGAGTGACTAAGAGGTCCTTGAACTCTGCTTTGGAAGAAACTATGGCCAGAATGTGTAGACAAAAGGGATTTTGAAGGGTTTGAGGCTAACCCTGGGAATCCTATGCCAGTTGAGGAATCCATTGTAGCACTGGGAAAGTCCTTGGGGTTGGAGGTTAGTGGGGAGGATGTGGAAGAGTTGGTGGAGGAGGACAATGATGAACTAACCACTGATGAGCTGCTAGATCATCTTCAACAGCAAGAGGCCAGACCTGAGGAAACTGCTCCGGAGGAGGGGATAGAGAAATTGACGAAGTTGCCCATTCAAACATTAAGGAAATGTGTGCAAAGTGGCTTGAAGTGCAAATCTTTTTTGATGAAAATCACCCTGACACAGCTACTGCAAGCCGTGTTGGCAACCTGTACACTTATAATGTTGTGGAGCACTTTAGGAAAGTCATAAAGGAACGAGAGGTACAGGCCTCTATGGACAGATATGTTGTGCAACAGAAGTCCAGTGACTCTCAAGCTGGTCCTAGTGGCATTAAAAGAAGGGAAGTAACCCCGGAAAAGGACTTGCTACCTCAAGTCCTAATGGAGGGGGATTCCCCTTCTAAACATTAAAAACTTCAACACTCTCCCCTCCTCCCATCCCATCAATCCTCACCAGATCTTCATTAAAGGTAAGTGTCAATTATTCTATCGTGATTATTCTATTGTTATTATTGTTATCGTAATTATTCTATTGCATTAAACTTAATATTTCATGTGGTAAAAGTTTTTTTTTTTCATACTTTTGGGTGTCTTGCACGGATCAATTTGATTTCCATTATTTCTTATGGGGAAAATTTATTCGCTTTCCGATAATTTTGCTTTACGATGAGCTCTTAGGAACGGATTAATAACATGAACCAGGCGTCCACCGTATAGCCTAGATTTTCAGTAGGCTATACCATCTAGGTTTGTGTAAGTGCTGTCTATGACGTCCACACAATAAACAACACATTTCTCAAAATACGTTCTTGTTGTTAAGTAACACACAAGTGTATTTGGGAGTTAACTTGTCGGTAGATGGGTCTATGAGAGATGAGGTGAACAACGAAACAGACTAGGAAAAAATAAGTTGGGCAGTACATTAAGGCATATGTGGAGAGAAAGAACTTTACCCACAGAGGGAAAAACAGGAATGTTCCAGAGTCTAGAGATACCTATACTGTTATGGGTGGAAAGCATGAGCTTTAAATATTGCAGTAAGTGGGACATTTGAGGCAGTGGAAATGTTAAGTCTGAAAGCAATGTGTGGAGTGAGCATTATGCAGAAAATCTAGAGAACAGAGGGCCGAGGAGGAGTTGTTGAGGTGGTCTGGACATTTAGAAAGGCAGGAGAAAAATAGAATGACTTGGAGAGCATATAAATCTAGGATAGAGGGAAGAAGGGCAAGGAAATGTCCCAGGAAAGGATGGAGGGATGGGGTAAAGGAGATTTAAGAGTACTAGAAGCTAGGACATACAACAGGTATGTGTAACCATGTTAAAGAGTAGTCTCAAGTGATTTTTGTGACGACGTGCTGTTGGAGTATGAGCAAGGGGTGAGAATGTTGCAGTCTGGAGGGCCATCCAAACTGTGATGTTAGCATTCTTCTGATAACACAGTGACTGAATGAAATGTAAACCCCTTCTTTTTTTGGCTCACCCCATGTCAGTGGAAGATGGTCAGTTCTTTCAAAAAATTTACCAAACCTTGCATTTGTGACAAACTAGGTGAGAAAAAACAATTTACTGAAAACACTTTCTCTAAGTATTTGTTAACCCTTAAATGGTCCAAATGTATATATACATTTTTTCAACATCTGAAAGTATGTAAAAAATGTAGATCTTCTTTTTTGTTTTACATTTGAAAACGTGTAAAAAAAAACTTTTATCTACATTTTTTTTTTTTGTTATATTTGAAAATATGTATAAAAAAGTAGATCTACTTTTGTAGCATTACGAATTTGAACGTTGATCTGTTTGGATCGTTTAAGGGTTAATAACTGTATCTGCTGATCAGCATTTACGTATAAGTGATTATCTGTTTCCAAAACATCACAATCATAAGTGCAGATGATCATAAGTTTAACCCACTGACTGTCGCAACCCAAAAACCTGAGGTGTCTCCTGGTGTTACAAAATCCCCCCCCCCCCCAAAAAAAATAACAGAGAATCTTTTCCCGATTGTAATGACACTAAAAGAATGAAATTTGATGGAAAACTGACGGAATTGTGCTCTCTCCAAGTTAGCGACCTCGGCAATATTTACGAATCGGCGATTTCGCCCACTTTGAGCCCTATTTTCAGCTAATTCCATTCTTCCAGTGGACCAAACTCATAGCTCTTTCTTTAGAACTCCATTTTTTTCTATCAACTGAGTACAAGAAACTGCCCATTTACCGATTTCAACTACCCAATAACGTGGTCAAAAATTTGCAATTTGGTCAATATCGTGAAAATTAGAAAATATGACAATTTCAAAATAGGGTCCAGAATGAACAATGCAGACATTCCTGGCTCTAAAATAACATTTTCTTTGTTCATCAGTCACATCTCCAGGCCCCTCTGATATTACTCTTGCTTTCTATTTTGAATTTTTATTCAAACAAAAAATAGAAGATTTACTGTTATGAAGACTACTGCAATATTGTAATAATTGAATAAATGATGTCAACCAATTCATGACTGCATATTAGAATGGCTACTTGGACATATATTGGAAAATGACATCATTTGTTTACTTTTGAACATCGGCAAAAATCAAACATTTCCCCTACTTTGATCTCAATTTCAAGGTTCTTTTCATAAAAAAAACAATCAAAATCACCTCGATTTCTATAATATGTTCTCCATTCTATCAAATGAGACCAAAAAAACGAGAATACAACCATAAATACTATACAAAAATAGATCACAAAGTCGGCATTTTAATTAAAAAAAATGACGAGTTTTTTGTTCTCATTATGCACTGCATGCTGCAGGATTTTTTTTATAAGGTGCACACTGACCACACAGACCCATTCTCTCATATGTGAGCCTACCAACTTTCTCCTGCTTGATTTGAAGCTGCTAGAACTTATGAGTTCGCCTACCATCCGACTTACAACCTGCTTGACATACGACCACTCAACTTACGACCGTGTTTTGTATGCCAGATTCCTGGGAAATAAACAACTGTTTGTGATGTACACAGTGTTTATCCTAAACCTTACAGTATAAAACACAGTACTAACAGCATAAAAAGTAATGTAAAAAATAAAATATCAAAATAAAACAATAAAATAAAGTCATTACAAAAATGTGTTGATGATATTCAGTAGTAAGGTTCGACTTACGTCCATTTTGACTTACGACCAGTTGGTCGGAACCAAGCTCGGTCGTAAGTTGGATGGTAGGTGTATATATACATCAAAAACGGTCGCTCGTAAGATATATATATACAACCGAAACAGTCAACGGGTTAATGATCTTAAGTCAGAGACCTACAGTAAAAATAAAAATAATAATAATAACAGACCGAGTTCTGTGACAGTGGTGGTCAACAGTAGCTTACCTTTTTTGAAGCATCAAAAATGCTGGCATCTGGGACGAGTTGCTGACACTTCTGGATCCAATTTTCTGCTTCTTTTCTGTAGGGATCAGATTCGGTTATGGTTTTGTTTATCTCCTCTACAGTATTGAGTGTGTCGAGGCACTCTAGCCAAGTGTGCAGCTGCTGCTTTCCTGCCTCTCCTTCTGTTGCCACATTCATTAAACCAGTATTCTCCTTTTCAAGGAGTTCTATTGCTGCTTTGTTTTGTTCAAGTAGATCATAGAGTCTGGCCTCCAGTAGGTGGTGCTGGGTCTTCCAGTCCCTCACCTGCTCCTGGTACTTGTCCAGCTGGAACAGTACTTCGTCACACTGAACTAAAAGGTTACTGATACTGCTCTTGTGTTCCTTCACCAGCAACTGTATTTTTTTGTGAGTTTCTGCTGGGCAGCCTTGACAATGCTTTGCCAACATACTTTTATGTTTCCTTATGAAGGCCTCCATACCATAGTTGATGGGAAACTGAGTAGCTGTCGTAGCACTATGCTTGGTACGGCAGCTAGGGCAGGTAAAGTATTGGTTATTATCAGTAGTTATCGTAGTTTCAATGCACTGTGAGCAGAATGTGTGCCCACAAGGCACAGTGCGTGGACGCTGAAGATCATCATCGTAGTTGGTTAAACACACTATACACTCCTCTGGGTTGCCATTATCCTGTAGAAAACAATTCTTTATAAATTAGACAATACTACATTTGCATAATGATTATTGTAATTATAGTTATTACTATCCTACAGCAACTTTGATATTTAGACCGCTACACATAAAGTGGTGCCTCAAGTTACGAACTTAATTCGTTCCAGAAGGCTGTTCAAGTGCCGATACCAAACGAATTTGTTCCCATAAGGAATAATGTAAATTAGATTAGTATGTTTCAGACCCCAAAAAATACACTTACAAAAGCATTTGCAAAAATACACTTACATAATTGTTCGAGTTGGGAGCTGTTCGAAACTCAAGGTACCACTTTACTGCCTTTTGTAGCGTATAACATGACAGGAATCATTCATATACAGTAGACTGTTGATTAACACGGGATCCTTTACCATGTTTTCTCCATTGCACTATGCAAAACTGCAGCACATTTTCGACTAACACTTCGAAACATTCAATTAACACGGTACCACTCCTGGGGAAAAACATTGGAGTGCTGAGAGGTGGACCGTGGGATTCCAGAACTGTTTGTGATAAACTTAGTCGATTCCTGCATACCAGTCAATACGTGCAGTGTTTACATATGCTGCTATGTATAATAATTTATGTAACTGTATTTATGTGTATGTTTACCTGAATAAACTGACGTGTTCAGCTGGCTGGCTGGCTAGCCTGTCTCTCTCTCTAAGACAGAGCCGCTCATGAACCTGATAGTCAGCTAGAGTTTCGAACCGGTATTACACATTGCAGAATCTTCACGTCTGCACAAGTGGAAAGATACAACCATGGCCAAAATGTGTATTACCTGCCACAGTAATGCTTATGCCTCATATCTACAAGTATAATATAGCACTGACATTTTTTGGGTTATTCTAAGTAAATAAACTTACTTAGTCCTGGATTCTATTCAAGGGATGCATGTCTTCAAGAAATATTCCAACCCCAACTAGTGTTCAATTGTGATGAAACAGGCCTGTTCTGAAAGAAAATGCCAAACAGGACCTACATAACTCAGGAGGAAAAGGCACTCCCAGGACACAAGCCTATGAAAGACAGGCTAACTCTCATGTTTTGTTGTAATGCTAGTGAGGATTGCAAAGTGAAGCCTTTACTCATGTATCACTCTGAAAATCCCAGAGTGTTCAAGAAAAACTGTCTCATCACTCATCAATACTCTTCAATAAAGGTAAGTGTCATTTTAGTACAGTGGTCCCTCAACAATCGTCCGGCCTGAAAGTCGTCCATTTCGGAAATAGTCCCGTTATTTCGTCTAAACATTGGCTCGCAAATGGTCCGTTAACTCACTAATCGTAGTTCGTCCGGGACGCGTACTCACGCTCTGAGCCGCCTGGCCCTGCCTTCCCAGCCAGTGTGCAATTGTTTACCAGTGAGCGATGGTCCCCTCACTTGCTCCTACAAAATATTTCATAATATTCCATTGATTTTAGCGCTTGCTACCATGGCTCCAAAGAAAGCTTCTAGTGCCAGCCCTTTGGTAAAGAATATGAGAAACACATATAATTTATGAAAAAGTTTGTAGAAAAATACAAAGGTGGTGGTGGTAGAGTGGAAGCAGTTGTGATAGTGGTTGATGGTGGTAGAGGGTGGTAGAAGATGGTAGTGATGGTGGTAGAGGGTGCCTTCTTTAGTGATTCAGCGATTCTACCAACTCCTCCAATGTTGTTGGAGTTATATAGGGCTACAGAAAACACCGCCGCCTCAGCTGCTGCTTCACCACCATTATGAATGGCTTACTCTCAGTGGCCCTTATATACCCAACAACACAACACCTCTAGTGACATACCTAATGATTTATTTTATTCATTCTAGAGTATATTCTGTGTTTCTATGTTATTAATATTGTTTATTATGTCATATTAGTTGAATTGTGATAGATAAATAAGCCGTAGAGTTGATATTAGTGTCATATTCTCCAACAATAAACTTGCCATCCCTCCCTCACACAAACAAGTCTTCAATAAGAACATAAAAAAGGAGGAGCACTGCAGTAGGCCTGCTGGCTCATACTAGGCCAGGCCTTCATAAATCCAACCCACTAACAGAACAAATGCTACCCAAGCAATAAGCTCAGGTGCAAGTCTGACTCAAATCCAACCCCTCTCACTCGTGTATTTATCCCACCTAAATTTGAAACTACCCAATGTTTTAGCTTCGATCACCCTACTAGGCAGACTGTTCCACTCATCAACTACCCCTATTTCCAATGTTCATTTATACATTTTATTAGTGCTTTATATTTATTTGGCATTCTTTTCTGCATGTAAATCTATATTTATGCTAGGGAAGTGACCTAGAGTCCTTATGGAGGGGGATTCCCCTTCCAAATAATAACCTCTCTTCTCTCTCTCCTCCTCCCTGTCTTCCATTCATCAACAACAGCCTTCAATAAAGGTAACTGTCATGTTGAATGTTCATTCTTTTGTGCATGTAAATCTATCTTTTAGGTAAAAAAAAATATTTTTGTTGATACTTCTGGGTGTCTGGAACGAATTAATTGGATTTACATTATTACTTATGGGGAAAATTGATTCGAAAATCGTCTATTTCGATAATAGTCCCACTTCCAGGAACGGATTAAGGACGATAACTGAGGGACCACTGTATTTATGTATTTATTGTGCATGTCTCACTGTTTTCTTTGTAGGGAAATGTATATTTCATGTAAAAAAAAATTATTTTTTTTTTAATACTTTTGGCTATCTGGAACGGATTAATTGGATTTCCTTTACTTCTTATGGGGAAAATTAATTAGGCTAACGATAAATTCGGTTAAGGACAAGCTCTCTGGAACGGATTAAAATCCTAAGTCGAGGGCCCACTGTACATCACTTTGTCTGACTTTCTTGGTAGATAATCTACACATATGCTGCTATGTATAATAATTTACATAACTATTTGTGTGTACCTGTACCTATATAAATTTACTTACTGTGGCAAAAAATACATTTTGGGCACAGTCCCATCTTTCCACTTGTTCAGACATGACAATTCTCCAACATGTGTAATACCTGTTCGGCTAGTTTACTATCACTGGGCCATATATACGTGTCCCATACGAGTCTCAGGTGTATTTGTGATAACTTAGCTAATCCTGCATACCAGTCAATACATGCAGTGTTTACATATGCTGCTATGTATAATAATTTATTTAACTGTATATGCAAAACAACCACTGTGAGAGAGTAGTGAAATTCCAAGCGCTTTCGTGACTGTTCACATTGCCAAGGAACTATGAAAGTAATACATCAAAGGAAGGCAATTAAAGGGCTTAGACCACACCTCACAGTCAACTCCCACAACAAAGAAACACCTGACGTGGGAAAATACTGTACTGGACTCATAAGAAAAGAGGAACACTGCAGTAGGTCCGCTGGTCCAACTAGACAGGTCCTCACGACATCCCACCAACAAATCATTCTCTCCAAGAAATAAGGTTTATTATTTGTCCAATGTATTATTAAACTCTAACCAAATTTTATTAGTTATAAATGAATCTAATTTATGCAAACCTAAGGAAATACACCTACCATCCGACTTACGACCGAGTTCGGTTCCGAGAAACCGGTCGTAAGCTGAAATGGTCGTAAGTCGAACTTTACTACTGAATATCAACATAACATTTTTGTAATGACTTTATTTTATTGTTTTATTTTGGTATTTCATGTTTTACTTTACTTTTTATGCTGTTAGTACTGTATTTTATACTGTAAGGTTTAGGATAAACACTGTGTACAACACAAACACTTGTTTATTTCCCAGAAATTTGGCATAAAAAACACGGTCGTAAGCCGAGTCGTCGTATGTCGAGCAGGTCGTAAGTCAGATGATAGGTGTATTCATATTATTTTCAAAACTGCTTTTTATGAAACAAGATTCAATTATATTTCTGTCAACCATGGACTTGCTTGATACAACTTTCTCAACTTTTTTAAAATCAATCGGATGGTTAAAGTCTCTCACATGAATAAATAGAGCAATGGAATCTTGTCCAGTTCTAATGCTATATTTATGTTGTTTTAATCTAATTTCGAGACTTTTACCAGTTTGACCGTAATAAACTTTATCGCAAATTTTACAAGGAATCTTATAGACACATCCGTCAGCATTTTGGGGGGAATTCTTTAACAAAAGTTTTTTTTACTGTATCAAGATTTTTAAATACAACTTTAATATTAAAAGTCTTAAGAAGAGAAGGCATATCAACCAAGTTTTCATGGTAAGGGAGAACCAACATATTTTTAGTTGAATAAGGTTGGTTGTCCCTTTTTGGGTTGACAGAAATATAATTGAATCTTGTTTCATAAAAAGCAGTTTTGAAAATAATATGAATATTTCCTTAGGTTTGTATAAATTAGATTCATTTATAACTAATAAAATTTGGTTAGAGTTTAATAATACGTTGGACAAATAATAAACCTTATTTCTTGGGTAGAATGATTTGTTGGTGGGTTGTCGTGAGGACCTGTCTAGTTGGACCAGCGGATCTACTGCAGTGTTCCTCTTTTCTTATGAGTCCGGTATTGTCCCACGTCAGGTGTTTCTTTGTTGTGGGAGTTGACTGTGAGGTGTGGTCTAAGCCCTTTAATTGCTTTCCTTTGATGTATTACTTTCACAGTTCCTTGACAATGTGAGCAGTCACGAAAGTGCTTGGAATTTCACTACTCTTTCACAGTGGTTGTTTTGCATATTTTAAAATCACCTGTTTACTGTGATCTTATTGCATTAACTGTATATATGTGTACAGTGGAACCTCGGTACTCGAACAGCTCTGTACTCAAACAATTCAGTACTCGAACGCTTTGTTTGGTAAAAAAAAACTGCTTGGTAGTCGACCGTTTGCTCGGCTCTTGACCAAACAAACACGACCTGCCAGAACATTTGCATCAATCTCCCTGCAGCTGTTGCTCAGTCCAAAACTCCGCTGAACCTCACTGTAAACTATATTATTTGTGTATATAAGTCACCATGGTGCCTAAGATGATTAGTAATAACAGCCAACCTAGGAGAAAATTGGTTAGTGATTTACTATTATGCAGACTACTGCATTATTGAAAAAATGGTATAAATATCACCGCATTTGTGAAAGCACATTAGACCCACCAGTTGACATGTATTGGATGCATGACGTGATATATTTACAATTGAACATCAGCAAAAATTTAACATTTCCGCTACTTTGAGCTCAATTTCAACGTACTTTTAGTCGGTAAACCATTCAAAATTATCTCTATTTCTGTAATATATCTTTATTCTATCAAATGACACCAAGAAAATGAGAATACAATCATAAATACCATACCAAAATGCACCGCAGAATCGCTGTAAGTGTATTTTTGGGGGTCTGCAATGGATTAACCCTTAACCCTTGAGGGTTTCGGACATACTAGTATGTCTTACGCGCAGAGGGTTTTTGACGTACTAGTACGCACAAATTCTAGCGCCGTCAAATCTCGCGGGAAAAGGCTGGTAGGCCTACATGTGAGAAAATGGGTCTGTGTGGTCGGTGTGCGCGGTAGAAAAAAAATCTGGGACCCAGTGGTGCGTTGTGGGAACGCCATCTTAGTAAACAATATCCACCATGCCTTGCGGTAAGAAGCTCCTCACTCCTCGGCGAATTGGGACACTTTTGTTCCCAAGTGACAGTTCTAATACAGATGGAAGTGCCAGTGAAGATGAGTTTCAAGGTTTTGGTGAGGTTTTGACCAAAACTAATGACCATAATATCGGTAATAGTGAGGGAAAACCCAGACGACCCTCATCTTCCACCTTTGGTGCTGGGGCCCCTCTTGTTCACGTTCAGTGTACCCGAATCCAAGAGGAAACTTCTATTTTCCTAAATCCCAGACTCAGATGAGAGCAGGGTGATGATAATGATAGTGAAATAGAACTACAAGCTCTTCAAACTAGTTCCGTAGTGATAGTGAAGTGTAATATTCCCCAGTGAAGCGTCAGTATATACGACGAAATATGCGCTCTGGTAGTGTTTCCATATGCTATTCCAAGGGGAAGGGTGCATCTCGGAGTACATCCCGTGGCTGTACAACAGGAACAGAGTGAAAAATGACGATGATACTGTTGCAATTGGGATGGAAAAAAGTGCGTTTGGGTAGTGGTGCCGGCGGTGAGGCACCACAGTGGGCCATGCTGCCACCCACGCTGCCACCCATGCCGCTGCCTCAGCTGATCTACAACAAAGGCCACCATCCCCCACCCACCCACCCCCACCAAACCTCCACAACCACAACCTCCACAACCAAACCTCCACACCACAACCACCTGTCATTGTCCAGTACCCACCCCGCAGACCGCACCTGGGATTGGCAGGGAAGCTGTCAATTTTGTTCCAAATGCCCACCAGTTTGATGACAGCCAAAGTGGGAAAATGGCCATCTTGTACACTGGGAACATGCCACTGAACTGGAATTTTTTCGAGTTATTCTTTGACGAACCACTGATGGAAAGTATTGTCATGGAAAGCAAAACATACTACGAGTACACCATGGCAAACACATTACTTTCACCAAAATCACATCTACACCAATGGAAAGGAGCAACGTGGGTGAGATGTATCTTTTCTTTGCCACAATAATGCTTATGCCACATGTGTATAAGGGACAAAGTGAAATCATACTGGTCAACAGACCACCTGATTGCAACCCCAGGTTTCATGATATAATCCAGTGAATCGATTTGTGCTAATGTTACGTATGCTTCACTTCTCAGACAAAACCAGGCCTGACAGAACTGACAGGTTATATAAGATTAGGAATGTGTTTGTGTATCCGAAAGAGAAATTCAATATGTATTTTTATCTCTTCAGGAAACTGTAATTGACGAGTCTTTGATCTGCTCAAAGGAAGACTCTCTTTTAAGCAGTACATACCAAAACAAGAGGAAAAGCTTTGGTATAAAATTTTTTTGTCTTTGTGATTGTTACAGTGTCTGGTATTGGATATTATTGTGTACACTGGAAGTTATACATTGCAAAATACCAGGAAGTTATTGGGCATCTCAGGTGATGTGGTTAGAACAATGATAGAACCATATCTTGGTAAGGGGGATAAATTATATACAGATAACTGGTACACAAGCCCCTCACTCTCCCGTGATTTTTTGCGAGTGAACATGACAGATGTGTGTGGCACAGTGCGTGCAAATCGGAAACATATGCCCAGGTTTGACGCTGCACTCGTAGAGGGGAGGTGCAGGTGTTTTGCTGCCAATGACATCATGGCATTTCGGTGCAGACAAACGAGATATCACACTTTTTGTCATCAGTTCACCCTAATGAAATGGCAGACAGTGGCAGGCAGCATAGAGAGAGCAATGAAACCCATTCTAAAACCTGCAGCTGTGATTGATTACACCTTCAACATGTGTTCAGTGGCAAATGTGACATGCAGATTGGGTTTGCTGATTGTGTTCGCAAGAGTTATAAGTGGTACAAACAAACTGTTTTTCCATCTTCTGGACATTTTCCCTGCTCAATGCTTATAATAGTATAAAATGAGGAAACCCGAAACAAACCACAGACGGGAATTCTGTTTGTCTGTCATCAGACAAAAAGTATTCAAGTACCAAGGAACACACCTGCAATTTACCGCCCACCAAATTACAACAACTACCTGCTCGTCTGAAGCATGGTGATCACTTCCTGGTAAAACTGCCTCTACTGCTTTCAAGAAAAAGTCCCCAGAAGAGGTGTTACGTCTGTGCACATACAAAAAAAACGCCCACAACAATGCAGAGACACTCGTTTTATGTGTGAGAGTGTAAACAACCACTGTGCATGACACCATGTTTCAAAGAGTTCCAAAGGCTGCAGAACTTCTAGAAACACTCCCTGTGACTGTATATAAAGTATATAAAATATAGAAAAATAGTAATAAGCAACATTTCATATCGTTTGTGTAAATATTTTCTATAAACAAAAAAAAGACAACGTGTTTATGCCCTTATTGTGTAGTATTGAAAAGAAATAAT